TGGCCAGCATCAAGAAACACTTCTGCACTAAAATCTGGCTATGTGATTTAGACTTGTAGAAGATTTATTGATTTGATTTTTACGGCTTATCAACCTTTTGTTGATTATTTAAAGCCGAACCATATTTGGGATTGTAAGAATAAAACTTTTTTTAACGTTAATGTCACATTAACAATTTTTTGAGAATAACAATGACTTTTCCAGATAAAAGCCCTACTATTTTTATTTAACCCATAGCCAGGGAGAGGAGATGGATTCATAGCTTTCGCAAATTTATTTGCGCGTAAGTGAATATAAACTCGACTCTCAGAGTTTTCATTTCACACCGTTATTTACTACACGAGCTGCACATCGACTGCCGGGCTGAGAACACTGTCAATGTTTTATCTATCTATCTATCTATCTATCTATCTATCTATCTATCTATCTATTCATTCCTGTAGTTCGCTGCTACTAACAAGCAGGAATTTCTTATGTTGTTGATGACCATGTTGGCCGAAAGTAGTCGAGGAACCTAATTGAAATAATAAAACATATATATATATATAAATATATATATATATGTAAAATATGAACAAATTTAAAAATTCAAATTTTCAGACACACAAAATATTAATATTTCTTGTTTTATTATTTCAATTAGGTTCCTCGATTAGTTTCGGCCAACATGGCCATCAACAGCATAAAAAAATCCCTGCTTGTTAGTAGCAGAACTACAGAATGAATACATCTCTCTCTCTATATATATATATATATATATATATATATATATAGAGAGAGAGAGAGAGAGAGATAGATATCTATCTATCTATATATATATAGAGATAGATAGATAGATAGATAGATAGATAGATAGATAGAGTAGGAATATATATATATATATATATATATATATATATATATATATATATATATATGCATTTCTCTGATAGGAAACTACAGATGTGAAGCTTTTATAATAATCTGGGTGGAGTAGACGTGTTTCCTTGAGAAAAAAAATAGCAAAAAAAAAAAGAAGAAAACTAAAAAAAGATTAAATTGAACCTCACTTGCTGGGACGTTCTCCGTGGCTGAGTAGTAAAGCACACTGGAACAATAAGTAGTTTCCCCTACAAAGGGGTAACGTAGGTTCGATAATTGCCGACGAACGCATTTTCTTTGCTAGGATTTCTCAACTGCGCAGGCCGATAGACGTAATACACATTATTCAACAAATAAAAATGGCGCATACTTTTTAAATGCCAGTAAAGTTTCAAGTAGAATTGAAAGAACCTATAATGAAAATTATGGTTGATAAGACGATCATCCTTCGTAAATCCCATAACTGAAAAGATCTCGTTGTGATAGAAGCACTCTACATAAAACATCTGGCAACCAACATTAATTTCACTTCATTAAACAACGGAAACAATTGCTAAAGTTTTTTTTAATTTGGTCTGGGGTAAATAGAAGAACGCCAACTCGAATTTCAACCGTGTTCCTTTCGTAGGACTCGGAATAAACATTATGCATCATAAAATATGCATGAGAAAATTACATCTTAAAAGACAACCGTGAAAAGAAATTAACAATAACCCCTTGAAAATGAAACTCGTATTACGACTAAGCATTCTTTGCTCAGTCTAGGCAATCAAGAGTTCGAGCACTTTATTGAAGGTTTGCTTTTAGGCCATTTCTTCTCTTTTTATTTTCGGTTTTATTCAAGACTGTATTTAGATGAGAGTTTTAGGTTTTGGTAAGTTTTCCGTTGGTTCCACCAACTGTTTTTTTTTTTCTTTAATATATATATATATATATATATATATATATATATATATATATATATATATATATATATATATATATATATATATATATATATATATATCAGTAATTTTCGTTGTTCACGGATTAATGTTTCGGCAGACTTAGAAAATTGAGTAGGAAAAATACCAATAAACATATATACATACATAATCACAAACAACTTAACACCCTTAAGATGGTCTTAGATGAGATTAAAAGTACTTGGGGAAAATAAAAACTATTCGAAAGAAAATTTTGGTATTTTTCTTACTCAATTTTCTAAGTTTGCCAAAAAAATAATCCTCGAAATGGTCACAACGAAAACTAATCGACGTGATATGCTTAAAATATTTAACCAAACCTGTTTGAATGAAAATATGCTGTCTAAACATTCAATATATATATATATATATATATATATATATATATATATATATATATGTATATAAACAACAGTAATATATAATCCAAACTGTTCTTATTGATATTTTTATTTTAACAAAACAGTTCTCAATGGAAATTTACAGAGCATAAATATTATAAATTAGCTGGTTTAGAATATGTTTTTTTTCACTACACAGTAATAACCATGTTTCAAAACTGGAAACTACAAACTTTAAGTTTAATTATATAATTAAATTAAAAGCATTAGTTTCGTTTCATCTTCAAGCGAATATTGGAATGTTGCAATATTCGCTTGAAGATGAAAACAGAACTAATGCTTTAATTTAATTATATAACTAAATTTAAAGTTTTTAGCTTCCATTTTTGAAACATGGTTATTACTGTAGCGAAAAAAAAAAATATATTTTAAATCAGTTATTTATTTTATATATATATATATATATATATATATATATATATATATATATATATATATATAAGTGTTAACGATATCTAAATAATGTTTATATATCAATAACGATTTTGCGGGGAAGATGTATGACAAAGTGGAAAAAGTTTTCGTGTGATGCATTTTGTCCTGTATGACTTTATCGAACTACACCTGTTTGCGTTGATGGAATTACACATGTGCATGAACGAGAGATACTGTGTATTTTAAATTTAAAAATATCTTTTTACAAGTATTTTGAGTATATAATCAAGCTGATTTCATTTAGATAATTTTGTTTTTTGGGTTTTGTTTCCAGCACCATTGTTATTAAATATCCCAAATTCTTACAATAGAAGTAAGACATTGTAAGAACGTTGACACAGATTTACTGTGGGCGAACGATCGATTAAGACACTTCCTAAACATTTTCGTCGTAGTGAACTGTTTTCTCTTTTAATTAGACTTGCATTTTTATATCAAAATTGTTGCCAGTCTCGTTATGGCGAGCAACAAATGCGTTTCTTTAGTGAGTCAGTTCTGACTTTAAGCCAATTGAAAACATTTCAGCGGTAATGGACAAGCGTGACCGTAATAGGAAAGTTAACACAGAAGATAATCTTTTTCACGAATTAAAGAAATACTGAAAAATCTAGCGAAGGACGTTGACTTACTAAAGAATTTAGTCTATAGAATGCCACGAAGAATTAAAGCCATTATTAATGCAAAAGGTTGCCCAACAAAATACGAAATCATTTTTTAACTTGTATAACGTACATATATACACCTGTATCAATACACTGTATTAATAAACGAATTCTATGACTCACTTGTCTTGGTAAAAATACAAAAATCTACTTTCTATGGATGCGCCCATTTTTTCCCTCGTACAATATATATATATATGAGAGAGAGTGCGTGCGTGTCTGTGTGTGTATGTGTGTGTGAGAGAGAGAGAAATTTAATTAAAAGAAAAGACAATACTAGCAAGGTGAAAACTGAAGCTGGAACTGTAAAACTAGTTTGTCAAAAATGACAAAAGAAATACACTCGTAAAATATTTTCTAAATTAAATTAAAGATTATATGAACAAAAAAGAGATTTCCTATTTACACTATTTATATTCGGGCTATTCCATAACTACAACGAATAAATTTAAATTTTAAAATAATAATAACCGAGCGCGTTCATGCGTGTATTTAAAAAATCACAATCACAACGAAATGCAGATTTTATCACAGTTAAAATAAGTTTGAAATTTACTCCTAAGAATGATGTTGGAGGAGATCGAAAGTACTTCGCTAGGATGAAAACTACGTCACCTTCATCTTAACACCAAGAAACTAATTAAGTAACACCCACACAAAGATATACAGCTAAAAAGGCAAAATATATATTCTATTAAATCATTTGTAAATTTCAGTAATTTTTGCAGTGTTTCTTAAATAACCGCTAATTCAGAAAACATTTGACTCACATACGACTCTAACCTATTTTAACAATTTTTCTTTCATTTTTGTAGCACCATGTTTTTTGGTAGGCGATCATGGCTCTCAATAGATTGCTTTATTTTATTATCTGGGAATTAACACGTTTTCTTGGGAAAGATAGTGGATGGGTTACTTTCGCCATGTTTGTGGAGTTCAGTTTTTGTTTTCTTCTGTTTATTGCTATCCAGGGCTAGAGAGATCAGACTACCCTACAATTTAACACTTAGCTATGGGGACAAGAGATGAATTTAGAACTTTCTCAAGAGAATTTCTGCTGAAGTTAACGAACTACACTACGCTGGAATTTGAACTCGGCTCGCTAATGGAATTTCCTCGTCAATGAACGCTATACATAATACATATGTATTCGGATATTTGCTAAATCTATCTATCTATCTATCTATTTATCTATCTATCTATCAGTTTGTTCATATCTATCTATTTATTTATTCGTCTGTTCATATCTATCTATCTATCAATCTGTTTGCTCATATCTATCTATTTATTTATTCGTCTGTTCATATCTATCTATCTATCTATCTATCTATCTATCTATCTATCTATCTATCTACCTGTTCATATCTATCAGTGTGTTCACATCTATCTATCTATCTATCTATCTATCTATCTATCTATCAGTTTGTTCATATCTATCTATCAGTTTGTACATATCTATCTATTTGTTCATATCTATCTATCTATCTATCTATCTATCTATCTATCTATCTATCTATCTATCTATCTATCTATCCGTTTGTTCATATCTATCTTTCTATCTATCTATCTATCTATCTATCTATCAAGCATGATTTATTCATATAGTCATGCTTCTCTCATTTCTCTATTTACATTAGAAACAGACGCATCTATATTGAATGTGTAATTACAAGTAAATGAATGAAGACATATACATTTTATCTATGGGGGAAGCATTTGAAAATTGCGAAGATGACGCGTTATTAAATATTAAGGAGGTTAAGAAACAGATAAATCGGAAAATAACACTTGGCCATTCCAGGAACAATAAACGTTAGGGATTTGCATATGACATTGTCTTATTGTAATAGAGAAAACAAATTTGTTTAGGTAACAATAAAAAAAACAAAAAACAGAGATGGCAAATTGCACATACACATGCACGCACGCACACACACACACACACACACACACACACACACACACACACACACACACACACACACACACACACAGAAGCAGAGACGATCAAGTACACACACAAACTCACAGACGCATATATTACATTACGCACTTCATCGCGAAAACGCACAAAGACGCATCTATCTATCTATCTATCTATCTATCTATCTATCTATCTATCTATCTATCTATCTATCTACCTATCTCAGTCTGTTCGTATCTATCCATTTATCTCAGTCTGTTCGTATCTATCTATCTATCTATCTATCTATCTATCTATCTATCTATCTATCTATCTATCTGGGTTATCCAAAAACACGGTAGGCTATTGAAAGGAAAAGATTTCTTCTGCACACTGAATATTTGTTTTCTCCGATATCATCTCCTTTCATGTTAACGCACCTAATTCACTGGTTGCTATTAATCGAAAGCAGTGAAAATTGCGCCTGAAAATTTGTCGAGTGTAGCTATCTATAATTACTCATACAAAATACTTCTATGTATGTGTCTGCAGACGTAGGCACACACACACACACCCTATATTTATAGAATAACAATATTATATATATATATATATATATATATATATATATATATATATATATATATATATATATATAATATTACGGATTATCGCAAAAACATTAATATCACAATGCAGTATTGAAAGTAACAGAGGAAAAGATAAATCCAATTGAAGTTAATTGCCTCGTTACGAGAAGAACAAAAACAAAACAAAAATAAGGATATTTATTACATCTTTCC